TATATCGAGTCAAGTATTATTAGCAAGATATATCAATGCACCGATGGTACCGAGATATGGTACTTCGGGACCAAGTAGTTCTTCGTTATCTTCTCGAGGTTGAAAATGATTTTTTTGGATATCAAGTGAATGAGCTACCATTGGGCTAGTCGATGAATGATCTTTATATAGAATCATTGTAGAACTTTTTTTATACAAATTGATTTATGAATAAAAGTCTCATTCTCCGAGTGCTCGAACCGCAAGTCGAGATAACATTTTTTTCCCTAAGGTATTCACATCAAATTCTCTTTTTAGATAACTTATGACAATTGGAATCTTTTCAGGAATTCCAATAATATTTAAGTCATCAACATATACAACAAACCCCTTTTCAAATAAAAATATATGAATAAATAGAGCTTTTTTTTATAACTTTCTTTCAATAAATAATCGTTGAAGTGATTATATCACATGCACACGAGTTAATAATAAACGATAGATATAAAAATATAATATAAAAAAGTATAATATAAATTGAATTTCTAAAAACTAAAATAATAAAAAAAATACTAATAATCCTAATAGAGATCTCTATAATTTAATTAAATTCTTTTCTCAAGAATATGTATTATATGCTTCGACATATTAAGTCCTTTTATAACTTTCATACCGATATCATTTCAAATGAACAAATAAACTATGATCGCATTCATTAAATGCATACATATGAATGTTTTTCATATATTTTGCCAAGCTAATGAGATAACAAAATATAATTGCATCAATTATAGGAGAATATGTCTCTTCATAGTCAATTTTAATTCTTTGCAAACACTCTTATGTTAAAAGTTTTGCTTTGTATCTTACAATCTCATCTTCCTTATTTCGTGTTCACATAAATATACATTTGTATCCCACTAGCTTAACATTTTTAAATATTTTAGCTATGGGTTCAAAAAACTACTCTTTTATAGGAGAACATAATTCTACATGGATTGCTCTTTTCATTTAGGTCAATTATCTTTATGTCAATATTTTTCAATAAATTTTGGCTCAAGATCCTTATTTTCATTCAAAATATCAATTGCAACATTATATGCAAAAATCTTATCGATAGATGTTTCTTTATGGTCCTATTTTCTCCATGTATTGACATAATTTATCAAAATCTCTTGATTTTTCTCAAGTATTTGGACTTCTTCTAGAAGCCTATTATCATAAATATCTTAGACCATTTTATGAATATTTACAACCTTTATATTTTCATTTTGTTCTTTTCTTTTAGGGATTTTTATCTTTACAATTGATCGATCTTCCATGCCTCGTGTGTGCTTTAAATTAATTGGCTATAACATTAATAGACTATTCTTCTAGAACATTAATTCTAATAGGAGTATTCTCGGTGAGGACATGCTTTATAGTTACTCATTTAGGATCCGAGAATTCACCTAGTAGTTGGTTTGTAATACCTTGTAAGTGAACTATCTTTTAAACTTCGGTTCACATTGTTTTGTATGAGATTCAATATGATATAAAGATAGAGTACTCCATGTAATCTTTTTTTTTCAACATTTTCAACTCGTTTATAAAGTACTCCATGTAATATTTTTTTTCAACATTTTCAACTATTTGTTTTGCTTATTCTCTCCCCCTAATGTTGAAAAAACTATTTCATCAAAATCACGATCGATAAATCGAGCTCGTAAAAATACCTCTTGTTCATGAATCAAGAGATCGAAGAGGATTCAAATTCAACATATATTCCTAATCTCCTTTAAGTTTTCATTTTATTTCATTATATAAGAGCACTACGGATATACACCGTAATGCCAAAAATTCTTAAATAAGAAATATTTGACTCATGATCATAAATCAATTGAAGATGAGAGAATTTTTTATAACTTATGGGTCTAATGCGAATAAGTATTGCTACATGTAAGATTGCATGTCTCCAAACATAAACAGGGAGTTTAATTTTTAAATAATGGTTTAGCTATCAATTGGAGCCTTTTGATAAATAATTTTTAAAAATTTTTTTAGTATGAACATGAGCAACGAGATATTCAATCTTTATTCTAATAGCCAATCAATAATAATTTAATGCTTGAGAAATAAATTCATCAGCATTATCAAGGTGACTTATTATAATGGCATAATCTAAAAATTATGCTCGAAATTAAATTTGCTAGCAATCTCGAAAACATCGGGTTTTGAGTAGATAATAAACATACATGTGACTATCTTGTGGATGCATTTATCAAAATCATAAAATATTTAAATGGTCCACATGGTGGATGAATTGATCCATATATATCACCTTGAATACATCCTAAAAATACCGAAGATCCAATCTCAATTGTACTTGGTGATAGCTTAATAATCAATTTGCCTTGAGAACGTAACATGAAAATTCATTAAATTGAAGATTTTTCTAGCTCTTCAATAGATTTTCATATGAATGTTTAATAATTTTTCACATCATAAAAGACCCAAGATAGCACAACTGGTCATGTCACATAGTAAAAGTATTTGAATTAGTAAACTTCGATTTACTATAGCATTTGTTTCAATCATTTTAATATTTGTAATAAAGATTAGAAGAGAAAGCGGCTAAATTTTTTAATATATATTTTCTATTCGGTATAATGATTATAATATATAAGTATTTACATTTGCTATCTTGATATGATATTAATTTAGATGAATATCTTTAAAACTTAATAAATTTCTATGAGACTTTGAAGAGAATAGTATATCATTTTTAATAAAATTTATCCTTTTAGAGAATAACATATTTGCTCTTCCGAAGTTTTTAAATTATATCACTTCAAGTAATAATATATCGACTCTTCTAGAGCCTTTAAAAGTTGTCTATTCAAGTAATAATATATTCACTCTTTTAGAACTTAAAAAATTTATCTCTTTAAGTCATAATATATTCGTTTTTCTAAAGACTTCAAAATTTATCTTTTTAGATAATAATATAGTCGCTTTTCTAGAGCTTTCTATTAAATTGTTATTATCATATATACTATTAACATAAAATAAATAATCAAATAAATCAATACAAAATAAATAAATATATATATTCCTCATAAACACAAATAAATAAATAGTAAAATAAATTTATAACCATCACTATACAATATAAATTATAATAAATATAAAAAATTTTATTTATAAATATAAAAACTAAAAAATAATTAATTTCAATTATTATTATTTTGATATATAAAAGTGGCTTTCATAGTTTAGTATTTATTTCTCAATAAGGCTTGACAAGGCTCAATGAGGTGCTTTGGTGTACGACAAGTACACGACCAATATTCATTCATTCCACATCTATGATATTGATTTTTCAGAATACTAACTTTATCTATTTTTATTGTTTTTTTTTCATAGTTATCTACTTCGGTGGTGAGATATGATATTATGGTCATCATGATTATAATGATAATTATTTCGACCACGTCCATGACTATGACCACTTCTTCATCTATGTCTAAAATTATTATGAATTGTCACATTCACTTCGGGGAATGGAGTAGATACAATTGGATGAGATTTATTCTTTTTCATTAATAGCTTGTGATTTTATTTAGTCAGGAGCAAATATAAAATCGATTCAGAATATTTCTTAAACTCATTTTCTCGATATGCTACTATAAGAGCATATTCGAGACATGAAAAGTAGAGAATATTTACTTAGCATCAAACACTCGTGATCAATAATTCTTGCCCAAAATATCAAGGGCCACAAAATCAAGTTTTATGATGGTTGATATGATATCATTAAAATTATATATTGCAAAGTATAATGTTAGAAAATAAAGATAAAATATAATAATAAAATTTAAATAAAAAAACATAATAATAAAATTTGAACTTTTCAAATAATAAATATTAGATTATTAGATTATACATATTAAATCATTAAAATTTTTCAAATGTATATTCTATGTATCATTAGATTTAAAGTACATGATAAATTAGATACATACCTTTTAATGATCTAAATAATAAGTTAGATCCAATTGGTAGAGACTTGTGCGGAAGAAATCTAATAGTTGAAACAATTGATTAAGTCTTTTGGTAGATATATACCTCATAGTCTATTGTCTCAATTTGTTAGAGCTTCATGTTGATAACGTGACATAAAATAAATAAAAATAATAGGAGAATTGAAAAGAAAAAAAATGATGAAGAAATGATTTCACTATAAAGAGAATATAAGAGATAACAATTCTAAACAATTCTCATAATCTCTACAAAATGCTTGTACACCAACTAATGAACAATCAAGCCTATTTATAGGCTTCAAATTTAAGAAGAGAATTGAAAGGGACTATGAATAATCAATTACATCACCCTTTCAATTTTTCATATTAAAAGATGAATTGAATCATATTAAGAATCAAGAGTAGTGGGGATATGAAAAGTAGATGAACATGATGATGGACATTCATTATTTCATAACAAATACTAAATATTAAAAAAAAGGAAGAGAAGAAATCAATTTAAATAGGTTGCTCAAATTAGTTTTAAGGGTCTCATTAAAACAAATAGGAAGTTTGGAAACCGAAAAGAACCCAATGGAAGATAAAATTAAAAAAAACCCCCAACTCTTAAATAAAAGAAAGGAAGGGTACAATTAGGAAAAATCTAAGGAAAGAGGTCATGATTAATCATGATTTAGAGGATGCTATTGAAGTTAAAATAATCAAAATTACACTTATTGATCTTTTTCTAAAAAACCTTAATTTCCACTTATAGATGCCTACCTCCTCATTTTTTATACCAACCACTATTCACTTATCTTTCTTAAAACACATTCTAGGCATAACTCCTCCTTCTCACCCACCTCACTCAATTAAGAGCCTCTTTATCATAACCTCGCTTTGTCCTCTCATTCAGCCAACCATCACCATTAACAAGCTTAAGACCACCACCGACCAACAACTATTCACCCACACTCTCTAAAAACACTTTCCATCCATAACTCCTTCCTCTTATCCACCTCACTCAACCGAGAGTCCTTCCATAACAACCTCCTTTGTGCTCTCATCCGGCCAACCATCGCCATTAACTAGCTCGAGACCATCATCAACCAAGCCCTCTCCTCCAAATGACCAAACCCATTCACATGTCTTACATGATTAAAAACTCCTCTATCACAGCTATATTCTTCATCTCCTCCGCCGACCACCACCACCAATCAGCTCGAGACCACCACCAACTAGTCCACATCTCCCGCACCATCTCTAGCCCAAAACCACCACTAACTAATCCCTCTCCTCCAAACAATCAACCTTTTCTTCCAAAACGCCTCTAAGTAACTCCACTAAAGATGTCTCAAACTCAACAAACTTGACTTTGAGCAACACTAAACCTAGTATTACCACTCGAACATCGTTTTTCTTTCATGTCTAGCCTATGATTTGAGCCATAATTACTAGTTAAGAATGAACTTTGCGATAGCTTTTTCGACTTCCACATAAGCCAACCTCAATTGATGCCACAAATCACCATTTTCCCTCCCTCTTAGCTAGAATATCTATTCCCCTTTCTTGGTTATGGTTGTAACAACACCCTCCATCTATTATTTAGCTAAAACCTATAACAAATTTTATCCTTAAATTTTGGACATAATTAGAACAAAAAATATACAAAATATATGTGTTGTTGTGTTGACGAGTAAACAAGATTTTGGTTCAATTTTTGGATATAATAAAACAAAAAAAAACATAAAAAAATGTTATTTGGATTATTGAGTTTAATAGAAACAATATGATGTTGTAGACTATATTTTTTGTTTTGTTTTAGGCAAGAATGACACAACATTGTAGATAGTAACCCCATTGCTACCAAGTCCCCCTCAATTGTAGTAATTTTAACAATGACAATAACTTTGATAAGTTACAGTAACTTTGAAAATAATAGTAACTTTAACAAGTGGAAGTAACTTTGATAATGGCAAGTAACTTTGACAACGAACAGATCACTCTCCTTCCCTCGCTAATTGAACAATCGGTTATCATCGAGGATAAAGAGAGTAAAACCGATCCCAAATCGGACCTTTGGACAAATTTAAAACCTTTTGAAATATTTTGGATAACTTTTGAACTTATAAAGATTTTTTTATAAATAATAAATGAAAATGATGAAAATGTCATGTTACGAGTGATTGAATTATCAAATGCTTTATTTGATTATATTTGAAATGATTGTCATGTTTTCTTCTCATTAGAAAATTAAGAAGTTATCGTTAGCTTCCCACCTATATGGATGAAGCCACCAATGGCCTCCAAACCATTTTTATTTGATTTTTTTTATTACCGAAGTGAAGTTATTGGTGGATTTTCATTTATGAGATAAAGCTATCAATGATTTCGAAGTGATTTTGCATGTTTTCTATTTGTTAGAAAAGAGGTCATCGATGGCTTCTCATCTATATGGACAAAGCCACTAAGTGGCTCCTTGACCATTTTATTTGATTTCACATCATTGAAATGAAGTCCTTGATGGCTTCCCACTTATGTGATAAAGTCGTTAGTGGTTTTGAAGTCATTTTACATGTTTTTTGCTTGTAAAAAAAGAAAAAAAAAGAGGATACTAGTGGCTTCCCACCTATATGGACGAAGCCGTTAGTGGCTCTCATACTATTTTTATTTGATTTCTAATTGCTAAAATAAAGTTGTTGGCGGCTTCTCACTTATATGACGAAGCCGCTAATGATTTCAAAGTCATTTTACATGTTTTCTCGCTCGTCAAAAAAGAGGTCACTAATAGCTTCATCCATATAGATCATTTTTAATTGATTTCTAATAGTTGAAATGAAGTCGTTGGTGGCTTCCCATATATGTGATGATGCTATCGGTGGTTTCGAAGTCATTTTCAATGCTTTCTTCTCGTTAGAAAAGAAGTCACCAATAGCTCTCCACTTATATGATGAAGTTGCTAGCAGACTTTCAAACTAGTTATATGCTCCTTACTCAAGCGAAACGGAGTTGTTACTAACTTCTCACTTATGCAATGAAGTTATCGATAGCTTCCAAAACTCATGATCCGGCCGGCGGTGGCTTCTTACTTATATAAGTGAAGTTGTCGGTAACTTTCCGTTCATGTCAATATAGGCTCTCAATCTTTATCAACTCACCTATCTATCGGTATAGACTTGTTTTTGTTAAAGATTAGTCAAAATTCTAATCTTCGTCACGTTTCTCCTTTGAGTATGGGTATTGACTTCGATTGACCTAAACCCCAAATTACTTTGCTATTCTATCCCAACATAATAAATTTACTCAAATAGATATAGAAACATAACATAACAAAAACCAGGTTTTTATTTTCATATGTATTCAATGCAACCTACCTCAAATAGGATAGGATGGTAGTAATGTTATATCTTCTCTATACATAACCGAATTCTTATCTAAATATTTATGTAGACCAATTTATTTAGGGTTTTCTAATTTGTTTTTATTAGTTAGGCAAGCAACTTCTATTTTCCGCACCCTCATCATGGGCCATCGACAGTAATTATAATAATAAATAAAATAAAATAAAATATTCTTAATAATTCTTTATTGTTAAGAAAAGTAAATTTAAAATTCTTATGGAGAAGAATGACTTTGAATAAGAAATAATATTTCGGGAATCAAGCAGCACGTTGATAGTAATATTGTTATATAGAGGCCACATCATTATACAGCAATTATTAAACATTTTTTCTTTCTTTTTTATTTCTTAACACAAAAAAAAAAAGTTAAAACATTTTTCTCACCCACGTCACTGAGTAACAACATTTTATTTACTCCTCTCTTCCTTTATTTTCAATTTACCTTTTTTATTTTTTTATTTAATGGTAAGAATATTTCAAAATTTATTTATGAGTTAACGAAAATTAATTTTATTCGGATGGTTTTGATAACACAATTTTTTGTTTTATTTATTTTTTATTTAATGATAAGAATATTTCAGAAAAATTTAATAAATTCTTTAAATACTGATATAAAAATTTAAACTTAAAAAGTGAAAGAAATAAGTAAACTTCTTTAATCAACAGGCCAAATCCCTTTAAGGTTCCTTAGATTTATTAATAGCAAAGCATGTTCAGAAACTAATCTTAATTTACATATTTAATAAATGCTACATTAATAATCCATCTTTATTTAAATTTTAATCTTGTATCATATAAACTAATTAAGAGATGATGTTAAAGCAATCAATACATGAATTCATTGAAGTGACCGCGTAAGAAGACAAGTGCCGCTTGCTGAATGTGTTCTGTAGAAGGGGAATCGGTAGCAAGTTTAAAGACAAACCATTCACTTAATTACCATTACATTACAATTTGATCTATAATCCATTCCTCCTAATCAATCAACTAAGACACTGTAACTGCTACGAGCTGGAAGTTAACATCAATGGCCTAATCATAATTAATTTAGAAGTTACTCTCTCCAACACTCAAGACACCATCAACTAAAGGCAGCTTTAATTTTTGTACAGAATATTTCTAAGTAAAGAAAAATATTTAGATAGACCAGGTCTATTATATATATCATACTCACAACAAATAATTAGTAGACTCCAATATTTGTGAAACGTCTCATGCTTAATTTGTTGGTGAGCTACCACCTGAACCAGGTCTTCTTAAGAATTTCTCCACCGATATTGGTGCCAAACACTTGATTTTGATGAGCCAGAAAATATGGTATATGACATTAGTTGTTACACCTCAATTAACCCCAAGTTGACCACCACCAGCACCATACAAACAAGCATAGAGATCTTCCAGTTGCAAAACCTCACCATTCACTTCCTCATACAAGCTAGAGTTGCCTCCCTCATCGCAAGAGGAGTTACAAGAAACATTAACAGGAGGTTGAGCTGCTGGTCCTTGGTTCAAAGTGAACACCACTTGTTGAGCCCTCCTCAACTCCTCTTGAAGTTGCACCACTTCTCTTTCTAGTCGCCTCCTATCGGCTAATGCATTCTCTAGTTTCACTTGGAGTGTATTATAATCAAGCTCAAGGCTCTGTGTCTTCCATCTTGCTCTCTTGTTTTGGTACCAAATAGCAATTTGTCTTGGTGGCACCCCTAGATGGTTTGCAAGTTGGACTTTAAGCTCAGGCTCAAGCTTCTTGTTGGTTGTGAAGGTTCTCTCTAGTAGCCTCACTTGGTCTTGTGTTAGCTTTTTCTTCTTGTTGTTGCTGCTGTGTTTTGGCAAGTGCTGTTTTTGTTGGTTTTGTGATTGGAAGAAGTCCATTTTGCTTTGGATGTTGGAGAAGCCAGCAGGATACTATGAGAGGAAACTTGGAACCCGAAATAATGCAAATGGGAAAGTTTGTTTAAAGAAGTTGGTGGGTTCATTTCTTTTTATAGCATAGGAAGGTTTTCATACGCCCAAAAGGTACCCTACCAAAAAACATATAAAAAAAATTTCTTTTCAGAGAAGGAGAGAGAAATTCAGGCGGCTATTTAAATATTCAGGCATACGATACAGCTATGGCACACTGCGCGCGGCCATCACGTGAAGATGGTCCTACTCATGGTTATAATTATATAATATTATCAGCCATTTTAGTTTAGAGATAGCACACTAGCAGGCAGCTACGGAAAAGCTTAAAAAAAAAGATCATTATCTTGTTGTCCTAACTTTCACTTTTCATTTTGCTAGATTTAGCTGTAAGAGATGTCATCTTTTTTCTTCCAGCAATATGGATGTTTTTTATTATCAGTTTTCACATATTTCAAAGTTTATTTATTTTTTAATATGATTAATATGTATTTTTCGATAGATAGTTTTATGTATTATGAGAATAAAATTTTAAAATATTGATAAAAAAAATTAAATCTTAAATCTAATCTATAAATAGACATTTGTTTATCAATATTTTAGTGGTTCTTATTATCCTCTTGTATGGAGAAATTACAAGTTTTAGCTGCTGAAGTTAGGAGATGGAGATATAAGTTGTCCATAAAAATAGTAGTTAAATGGATCCAATTTGTTTCTATTGCTTAAAAAAAATTGTGGTTGTAAATTGACTTAAGTATAATTAATTAAGTTTGCTATCCAAAATTCCAAATCAAATCATGTTCTCTGTTTGTAGGTTGCATGACAATGAAATCATTAAATATTCATATTCATATTTGTGGTTGAAACATGGAGCCCCCATAGTTAGACTTAGTGAATCTGAGTTAATAGATTGTAATGGGGCCTTAACAAATACAATAACAACTCTTGACGAAAGCTAGCGATTAGCTAAAGATGTTGAAGAAAGATGCAAAATGTCATTGGAAGAGTAGAGTACTCTCCCACTTGCTGACAGGAGTACTTGGTTTTGTATTCTGAAAGGAACAGCTGCCTGCCAGTTAAAGTCCTTCAAAATTGAAGAATTTGACCGTCGCCGTCCATTTGATCAGTGCTTGCGTTCATGTGTGACGGCTGCCCGCCGCCTTGGTAAAAGGGACGGATGAGGTAGAGGTGAGACTTCTGAAAGTCCATGCAACAAGGAACTTCAACCCAGATATTAATGATTTATAAGACATTGCTAGAAGTTTGAAACATTAATTTATTGGTGATTTTTTAATATAACCGGTAGAGAGAAGAAATACATGTCTCCAAAATTTTCTTTATTTGATGATAAGGATATTTTTAAAACAGTTTGTAAATTAATCAAGGCTATATCTCTCTATAAAGATTTATTTTATTTATTTATTGTATTTGAGTACTAATTACATCAATCCTAATTTGCTAACGTATTTTTCTATTGGCCAAAGTTAAGAGAAGAATTTAAGTACAAACAAAAGTCTCTATTAGTTTAATTATTTGGAAAAAAAAATCAAGTGTCATAAATCATATAAACAACCACTATAACATAAATTATATCATTTTATTTATCTTAAAAAGAATAAATATCATCTAGGATGTGTAGTTTATTAATGTTTTTGCTTATTTGAGTTCTAAGACGAAATCAATTAAGAAAAGCTAACATCCATAAAACTAATATATAAAAAATATTCATTTGGTCCCGAAAGTGAGGGACTAACTAATAATTATCATATTTTATCATTATAACATAATGATATCAAATTTAATTCTATGTAGAGTCTAATATATACATACCAAGTTAGATTTAGCTAGTTAGGAATTTTTTTTTTAAAAAAAAGATGATTATAATTATATATGAAGAACTTTCTTTTCCTTAAAAAAAATAAATCAAATTTCATCCTTTTTCAATAAACATATTAGGAAAAGGGGTACAAAATTGCCAATTAGAAAACAGACACCCTCTCTCTATTACGTAGGATTAAAAGATCATATTTGTTTCTTATAAAACAAAAGTTAATATAAATTGCATAAATAAATTATATTCAATCCCTCCAGAGTGTGCGGAATATGTGATTAGTATATTATGTTGGTAAGACCGGTCTACGATGTATATTATTTTTAAATAAGTTTCACATCAATTTTTTTTTTATTATTATATCTTTTGTTGTGTAAAGTTTTAAAGAGTTTTTTTAAAAAAAATAAAAGAAAATAAAATTGACAGACTCTGTTATCTCTACTTATAGCTTTTGGTGTGTTGAGTTTTAAAAAATGTTTCAATATTTTAAAGATTTTTTAAATAAATTGATAAATTTTGTTATCTTTGTTATGTGTTGCATTTTACAGGGAAAACTCTGGTTATGACAGTGAATATAGTCAGGTGAGCAACGAACCCGATTCTTAGCTAATTATATTATACCACATATAAATAAAAAATAAAAAATTAAGCTGGTAAATGAAAAGCAAATCCCAAGAAGATTACAGAGATTTGTTATCTAGATACATAACTTGATAGAAAATGAATGAGAATGAGCAAAAAATAAGGTTGTGATCCATAAGGGAAAAAAAGGCCACAAACATAAAATAGTATACATTTCACATGTCAACAGTAAATGTAATTAATCTTTTCAATTCTATAAAATAAGTTAACAGTCACATAAAAGTTAATGACGCAAAATAGTAGTGAAAACAAACAAGCATTAGCACAAAAAGTCTGAGAAATTGAATTTTAACTAAACACCCTTCTCTATAGCACTATATAAGAGGATATTGAAAATATGATCTTCCACAGTGTTTCATAAAAAAAGACACACACACACCCCAAGTTATAACAATAGTCATAAGTTGAAGTATTATAGCAACTAAACCAAATGAGACACACAAAGAAAGGAAAAAAAAAGCATGTCGAATTAGGGACCTCATTGTCAGCAAATGTTTCAAATCTAATTTGATGCAGTCCCTAATAATATTATTGCTAAAATTCGAAAAAATGTCTTCAAGTAACAACTAGAGGACTACAAGAATGTTAAAGCTAAGTACGATTACCTAATTCTATTTGAATATTTTATCTTTTATTTGAACAATATCATAAATATATGTAAGCTTGCACGGGCCTCTGACTAATTAGAAACGTAATAAGTTTAATTAAAGGATACTGATGACTTCATTTTTAGGCTTTTTCCCCTTTCGTCCTTTCACCGGTTCTGATACATCACAATATTTCACATCTACTGTTAGGTTTGGTTTTTAATATACAGATAGGGATCCTCTAGTTAATCATTATTATATTTCCAGATAAATGAAGACTTAAATTGTTCATTCATGATATGTTGGATTTCTACCATTGAATTAAAAAGCTGTGGAAATAGGAGGAAAACTATCCTCAGCCCTAGCCCTTGTTTCAGGACAACATCAGCGAGATAAGTACAACTGACATTCTCTAACGAGAACCACAACAACTTAGATAGTGGTTATATATGAGAAAACATTAGTACAATACAAATACTTCTGTATACTTTTGTTCCCATTACACAAAGATGCCTACATAGCATATGATTTTTGGTCTTTCTTCCCCTTTTTGCCTTCTTTCTACGTTTTGATCTATCACCTCCATCAGCAACTATAAAATATTTTTGTCATGGGGTCATATCATGCAACTAAGTGCATGTATTTAGAGCACCGTTTAAAAATAATAAGGGATCATTAAGCTTCTCAAATTAGATACACTAAAATAATTGTGTCTCTTAAGTTAGAACTAATTCTTGAATTGATGCGTTGCAGAAACTCTCTTTCATGCGTTAAATCAACGAAATTTGTTCGTTTGGAAGGGTACACGTCCCCCCCACACTTACGTCATGATGATTTGGTGGTTTGACCTTATGTTCATGCACCTCTGAATGTGATGCTAGCCTTGGGCCTCTCTAGCTTGATGCCCAAAGAGTAGCTAGCTAGCTAGCTAGACTTGAGAGACAATTTCTTGTGTGGATAAAGGGGTTAGATGATAATTTCAATAAACATCACACAAGACTCATTCAAAGTTTTGATGGCTTCTTCCTTTTCCAAATACATGAATGATATAAGCAGTCAACATGATCAATTCCACACCTGTCACTATTTCTTGTATATGTTTATGGGAGAATAATTGGATCAGCGACAATAGGCAAAAATACAAGAGAGAAGCTTCAAGGGAGAATTGTTAAGATTGTTTGTTGGATATGATTCCTTTGAAGTGTAATATTTTTTATAGAAAAATTTTTGACCGTCTTACTTTTGAACATGTTTGTATGAATTGATTACCATGAAACTCGAACATTATTTGATGCGAATTCAGGTTCTTTATATTGTTTGACAGTAACTCGTAGTAGAATTTTGGATGGGGAAATTACTTTTGTCCCTTGATTAATTTAGTACACAGCATGTACTTTGAATCTTCTAGAGCCCGTTATCAGCAATTAACTCTTGCTACTCTTCCTGTCAATTATAGCATATAGTATTTTGAATTGATTAATTATGTATTTCTTCTTGATCGAATTAATTGATTAATTATATATTTCTTCTTGAATTAATTTACAGCACATTCAAAATTACAAATGTCACATTACATATAAGAATGATCTTTTTTTTTAACCATAGTTTCTGTATTTTTATAGTTGAGAAGAAATTTGAACTTCAAACCTTTGGTTATACTTGGACCGCTCTCTGCATAAGATATTCGACATTCACGCAGTCAACTCAAGTACTATTGTTGCACAGATTACTAACCAAGTCTAGGTGGACCGACCATGTTTGAAAAAAGATTAAGACATCAATGCACACAATAATATGGCCACCTTTCTTTATTTACATTAATGATCATACATGCTTCTTGATTTTCTATTCAATTACTTGCAAGTGGACTGCCTTTTACTGTGTAGGAAAAGAAAAAGAAATGAGGTTGTTTATTTATTTATTATTATTATTATTATTATTTGTCAAAACCAATAAAACCGATGAAAGCATTTCATTGATAAAGAAGAAATAGTATATCATTGTAACGAATACATCAAAACCATGGCAATTCTTCAAATAAATTTCTTGTAGTAAGGAAAGAGGATAAAAAAATATATAACAAGAATGAATTCAAATAAATTTTTTATGATATTGTAACCTTCTAAAACTTCACTTGCTAAAAAATACATAATAAAGAGAAAATTGTATAACATCAGAACACTTGTTCATAACTAACTTATAGTCTTGTAGATAATTGTCATGGATGTATATCTATCAAATTTCAAAAACTACCTCTTATAACGGCTTGTTTTAAAATGTCCGCTTTCTCCGTAGAAAAACCTTTTGTCACCTTACTTTGGATCCTTACAATAATTTTAGCAGATCATGAATGAAATTAGGTAATTAATACAATAAATACATCGACTATTTTAATTTGACCAACCGTCTATATGTATAATTCAATCACCAACAAACCCCTATTTTAGTGGTAGACTATCTAGATAAAAATGTAGAGTTATTACTGAATAAATAAAAAACAATATAGTAAAAAACATAATTTTAATAAATAAATAAAAAAATTTAGGAGAAAATGTTTAAAGATAACGAAATACAAAAAACTCAATAAACAAATATAGATGATAATGATAAAAGTAGAAGAAATTAAATTTAAAGAACTAAAAGGAAAAATTTCACTAGAAAAAAAATGATAGATTTGAATAAAAAATGGAGAAGAACAAGAAAAGTCCTACAATTATTACAAAAAGAGAGAACAATTCTTAATTGAGAGGAGAGAGAACACTATAATTTTGTTAGATACCGAGATTGTTACATATTAACATTTCATAGTGATTTTTTATTTTTCTTGTTATCATAACTGAATTGATTTATTTCCCATGGATATATAACTACAACCAACAAAGGTTTGAAAATAAAGCATATGACATAGTTACCACTATGTGTGCTTGGCTTATACATAAAAAATTAATCAAGTATTTTAATTAATTATGTGTTAATTCATGATATATATATATTTTTAATTTGGTATGAATTCAAACTATATAATAATTGGACACCTAGTGAGGGTACTCCACCACTTCTAAACATCCAAGCATCTTGTTGTTTTTGGAACTCATCCTTTACCTTGAATAAAATGTCTAGTCTAATCTAATCTTTCTCAACTTCTACTTTACTATCTTAAATCTTGGATTCAAGAGTAATCAATCTATGCACCACTATATTAGTATGTAGAGTAGGCATATCGACATATGATCATGCGATCATGTCGCATGTTCTTTTAACAAGGCGATCAACCTCTTTCTCGGTATTTCCAATCAAGATTCTTATTTTTAGTTTCTTTCTATTCTTGTTAGTTCCCACATATGTCACTCCAACATCTTCCTTATGTGGCTTAATAGGTTGTTCTAATAGTTCTATAAGTTTTGTGAATTCTTGAATATTATTCGATCTCATTATTCTTTATCCATTACAATTAAAGTTTCATCAAACTTTGGCTAATTATTTTAGATCATTTTTTATTTTTAAAATATGATCATATCGGATGTCTTTAAAATAAAATGAAAATTGCAAATAAAACAAAAAGAAAAAAGAAGGTAATTCAAAGAGAAAGTATGTATGATCCATCTAATTGATATTATTTATGAAACATGAGTAGAGTTTTATACAAGAAATCCGTTTACAATATCATAAATAGTAATTACTCAAATAAACAATGATAACCATGATAAGAAAATTATTTGACCTTGAAGACAATAGGGCATTTTCTCATCAAATCGGCTTGTTCACCTCCTCGATTTCAATTCACTTATGGACAATGTACTTGACTTTGAAAGCATCATCTATTGCGTTGACAAGTAAGTTACAAGAAGACCACCACTTTAGTGGCTATTAAGTAATGTTGTAGCTGCACACTTCAGACTCTTAATTTCTTCAACTCCTAGAGTGTTCACTACCATATCACAAAATAGCTAATTCAAGCTCTAGTCCTTGTGCATTATCATGTGAGCTATGTATTATAGCTTTGGAAAGGTGAGACGAATGGGAAAAATGTTCATCCTTTCTTCATTGGGATCATGTATTTTAATGTAAACCATCTTTTTGTCTTTCTATTTGTTTTTCATCTCCCTCTAATAGTCTTTTCTTGAAGGTTTAAAACTTAGCCCAAAACAATGGTCTCGTGTTTCTTAGCTTCATACAATTAACCATCTCAAACAACCTAGCATTCAAATCAATCTACAATAACCCACACTTTACCATATATCTCACTATCATTTTCACGACCTACAATAACTTGAGTTCGTTTTCAAGGTGTTTTTAGAAATCAATTCAGCATTTACTATCTCAAAAGAATACAAGTCGTCATCATAACTTTTCTTAGATTTAATGTATGACATATAAACATGCATAATCATGGCCATAACCTCTTCGGTTTTCATAGTAACAAACCTTTTATTGGCGGTATTTCATATTTTGAAGCAATAATGATGTGAAAAATCCAACAACATGAATCCAAGACCTCTATAACAACAAACTATAGGTCGGTTGGATTTCAATTACTTACAAAGTGACTTTAAATTGATGTGGCTCGATTATCAAGATCAATATCAATATCTCCTAGAACTTGTCCAGGCATACCATTATAAGCTCTTGCCATCATTTTATTAGGTTTTATGTATGAAGCATTAATCGAAATGTAGTCTAAGTATGTATTTTGGAAAAATGTTATGGGCACACCCATTGTCAATGAGCACCTTTACAATCATATAGTCTTTGCAATTGACTATGATGTTTAAAACTTTATTATAGCCGATGCCCTCAACACCTAACTCTTCCTCGATGAAGTATAGGTAATTGGTGGCTTTCATTCCGCCAACCAAATGTTTCATCAACTCAAAATTTATGTCTTGAGGAATAGAGACCTCACGAAGAACATTTTGTAAAGCTTAAAGATAGGGCTATAAACTTAAGATCAAGGATAAGAAAGAGATATGAGCAAAAGTCATTTTCAACCAATATATAATATTGTATTCACTATGCCTTATCAACTTTAGGAACTCAAATACTTCTTCTTCATTCATAAATTCGTTTAATTCAATATTTTTTAGTGGTAGTAATGACCTCTTTTGACTTATACAGACCTTAATCCTTCTATAGTGAAACATCTTTCCATTCGGGTTACCCCTCTAACATCAATAATTCCAGTTAAAGAACTTTTCATAATTACCTAAGATCTATCAACCGAGTTGGCATAATTATAGTTGCAAGAATGTACTTAGTAGTTCATAATTTTTTAGGTTGGAGCCATCAAAATTAGCTTTGTGAGGCCCATTTTGTTGACTTTATATATGTAGGTTTCTTTTTGGCTTAATGTACTAGAAACTCGTGAACTATAAACATTTTAATGATTTTAACTCATTTTTTTTTAAA